CTTCCTCACCCAAAATAACACAAACTCTGCGCAGAGAAAAATCATCAGGACGGAACAAAAAGGTGTCAACGTCAGCGAAATAGGATTGGAACATGCAGACATGGCAACAACTAGCAGGTACTGGGCACCTCGGTGCTCCTGCTTCAGGTGTTGAAGACATTGTACAACATGATGATCAACATGATCATAACTCTCTGCTACTAGAACGCGCACAAAGCAACAGCATAACCCGCAGCGCCGTGGCACCACAGGCACCTGCCACCCTACTGATGTGTCTGGCAAGGCCACACCCCTGGCAATGGCACCTGCCCAACACACCTACTGGCTGACACAGGCTGCATGAGAGTACTAACAGCACAAGACATGCAACCACATGTAGCAAAACGGATCAAAGAGCAGAGGATGCAAGAAATAACCCCAATTCATGCTATGACGCAGAGGCCAAGTCCCTTCTTGGTGCTAGCTGCAGCCGGCCTTCAACCACGCGTAAAAAGGGGTGATCAGCTGGCACAATATCCAGCCAGGTCAAGGGTGCCGCCTTGATGACTATGAAGTCAACCAGCAGCTCCCAAAACCTAGCCACCGCCGCCTTCTTCTTCGTCTGCACCAGCTCATCAAGCTCCTGCTGTCGCCGCTGCTGAAGCTGTAGCTGCTGCTGCTCTCTGTGCTGCCTCACTGCCTCATTATGAGCCAGTTGCGCAGCTGAGGGAGTAGCAGGCTGCAACAACTGAGTGATAAGCTGCTGGTCAGCAGGTGGCGCCCGGGCAGGGCCACCTGCTGGACTGGCAACAAGGTCATGCTGCCGGTTTAGCACATGCTGTAGGTTGGCTGCCCTCCTGCCAACATCCATAGCATTGAAGGCCGCCAAACACACGACACGCCACACGCATGTGAGCACACTCCGCCCACCATGCGGCGGTTGCATGAGCCAAATATGCTGCATACTTAAAGCTGAGGATCCAGGCGTGCGAGTGCACCATGCTGTAGGCAAATTCTCCACTATGGACTGTACCACCGCTTGCGCAACAGGGCAGTGCCAGTAATGGTGGTCATACCCAGGCATACACGCACCACACAAGCAAGCACGCTGCACGCCCGGCATTCGAGCAGCAGTAGGTACACCATTCAACACCACACGCCAGAACACCTCTTTGATGCGGTTATCCCAGCGCAACTTCCACAGTTTACGCTGCGCAGCGGTCACACTACCAACACCATCCCTAGTCGCTGCTGAATTTGAGGTATTGAGTGCAAGGACCACAAACTGACGTTTCCGAGCCTGCTGCTCAACACGCAAATTACGCAGCTGCAAGGCGGTAGCTGTCTTCACGGCCCGTGTTTGAGGGGTTACACGGTGTGCTCAAGCGGCTACGCCACAACGGACACCTGGAATAAAAGGAAAGCTGCGTGCAGCTCAACGCAGGCTGTCACTCAAGGAGGCTCAACCCCCAGGAAAGCCTCTGTGTGTGGGGCCATAACATCAGCCGTGCTCAGCACGACCCGTCGTCCCCATCACACACAAATGTTGTTTGCTTGGAAGTATATGAGCATGCAAGCAGTAGTCTAAGCAGTGTCAGTGACAGCAATCTATACATGTTGCAGTACAGGAAGCGGGCTGAGCTGATGAGCATGATGCTGACTCAAGGGCAGATCAGACTCAAAGCAGCAGTGAGGAAAGAAACAGCTGAAAGCTGGCCAGCTGCTGAGGTTTTGTCATGGCTGCATATCTCAACAGGCATGCAGTGACCCCACATACACCCACTTTAGAGTGGGGCTGGTGGCTTCCAAGAGATAGGCAGGGAGAACGCAGCAACACACATATGCATGCCCGTGCAAATCACCTGCGGACTACACGTAAGCCATTGCCGCGCAGCACAGTGTGCCACGCAATGAACGGCTGCCGCGTAAGTAGCTGAACTCTGTGACGACCAGGCACCCTAGCTGTAGCAGCAAAGTCAGCAAGCGCATCCCAAAAGCCGCCAACTGCCGCTCGTATCGCCACTTGCTCAACAAGCACAGGTACACCAAGCCGACAAGAGACCGCCCAGGCTACCCTGCGGCCATGTTCGCATGCATGTATCGCTGCCAAACATACCATGTCCCATACAAGGCGGTGCACATCACTGTGAGGGGCACATGCCAACCACAAAGCCCTGCAGGGCAGGTTTTCACCCGCCGTGAGCAGGTTAAAAGCTCTAAGTTGACGCTCCACCTCTTCTCGCACGGCAACAGCCACCGGACATAGCCAGAAATGATGCTCCACACCTGGCCCAGCAGCTGAGCAAGCTGCACACCCCGTAGTCAGCTGCATACGCTGCGCAGTGGGGAAGGCATTCAAAGTCAGGCGCCAGGCTGCTTCTTTGTAGGTGTTAGCCACTCTAACGCCCCACCAGCGGGATAACACCAGTTGCGCAACAGGCAGCTGGGCCCCGGCAGGAGTGCCATCCAACATTCTAACACTGTTTAGAAAAGCAGCATGACGGGGAGCAATAGCATCAAGCGCAGAGATACGTTGAAGCTTAGTGGCAGTGGCAACGGTGAGGTCGGCCAATCGAATAACATTTTCTGCACTACCGCCCGGTCGCTGCCAGCCTAAATCAGCACACAACGTTTCACGCGCCAAAAGGAGGTCATCAGGGGTGACAATAGAAAGTTGTGCTGCGCTGTCACCAGCAGCATAAGCTGCTGCTAGGTGAGCACGCGCAGCTGCAACCCACACTTGGGGAACCAGAGCTAGCAAGGCCTGCAGATGCTGACGGGCTAGCTGCCTGTCAGCATATTGCGGCTTGTTGCACAACCAAGGGCCCCAGATGTCACGCTGGTATGCTGCGCGCTGAGCTACCAGCCCAGGCAAGGCACATACTCTGTCCAACTCAGAAGAGAGCACCACAGCCTGGCCGAGAGACTGCAGCTTGGGCAGCTGCAGTAGCCCGGATGCAACCACTTGTTCCAGGCCAACAGCAACCCTGCGTTGCTGACCAAACCACTCCCAGTCCTGAGGTGCAGTAAAAATGGGGTTGGCCCACAGCGGCGCGTGCCAACACAGCTCTTCAGCATCCAATGCTTCTGTGCCAACGTGGCGGAGTGGCGGCAGAGCCCGCATCCCCAGTGCCAACGCATGCAAAGCTGACGGCAAACGCTCATCTGCATAGGCAGACGGGAACAGATGTTCACGGCCACATAGCAACAGCCCCCAAGGGCTGCTGCTGGCAGCACGCGTGCATGGTTCTGTTGCAGCGGCCCAACGGGGCCACAGCTCCCGTGCCACCGCCACCCAAGGAGCAGTGCCGCCTTGCATCAAAGGCAGCGCTTCACAAGCCCACCGTGACAACAAGTGGTGGTGGACTGGCATCAATCCAAAACCCCCACACTTCGGGTGTGCTGCCATGCAGTCACCTGGGATACCAGGGGCCCGTCTTAGGTCATCTCCCGGGCCCAAACCAGCATCAACCAGCGCTGCTGACCACTTGCTAAGCTTGTCCGTCACGTCAGAAGGCAGGTGGCCAGCAAACTGGGCCGCATATAACAATGTTGACAAAGCGTAAGCATTTGTAGCAAATGCCCGACCAAAAGCTGACAGTTTGGAGATGCGGCTGATGTTCTGCATGCGGTGTCGCACAATCTCTAAACTGCCACCCCAATCTACACTGCTCTTGCCACATTGATCAAAAAACACACCCAAGGATTTTGCTTTCGCAACGACTTGCATAGCCCCCAAGCCGTGTGCAGCCTCACCTGGCGCAGCAGTCTGAGTCGGCTGCTGTCCTATGTGCAGCAAACGTGTCTTGGTGGGGTTCAAACACTGGCCAGAGGCTTGTGCAAAGTCAGACATGCATGAGAGAAATGTGGGAACATCGTGCATCGACAGCAAAAACACTTCAGCGTCGTCAGCGTACTGCACAGCTGCAAGCTGCTGACTTGCTGCCATGATACCAATGCCCCGCTGCTTGAGGAAGCATAGTAGCGCTTGCCCCACAAATAAGTACAACAGGGGGGCCAAGGGGCAGCCTTGGCGCACCCCAGCATCACAACGGTAAAACGGGCTGCAAAATCCGTTCACCGTAGCACAGGTATGTGTGTCAGACAGCAGCACACGCATCCATCCTACAAACCCGTCACCTATGCCAAGTGCTGCTGCCACATCATACAACAAAGATCTATCCACAGTGTCATATGCCTTGGCAAAATCCGTGAAAACAACCACTGCCATTTGCTGCTGTTCATGCATCAGTGCAGGTAGCAACTGCAACAGCCTGATGCTATCCCCTATGTGCCGATGTTGTAAGAATGCAGACTGCGCTGGATGCACAACCTCCCCAGCAGCTGCAAGCAAACGGTTGGCAAGGATTTTGGCCAGCACACGGCCCGATTTGATTGAGGAGAGTTACATGGGTGTGCACGTTGGAAACGGAACACTTCGAGGACTGCAGCGCGCAGGACACGAGAATAAACCACAAAAAGCCTCAGAGAAGCAATTTGCAGCTTCCTCACCCAAAATAACACAAACTCTGCGCAGAGAAAAATCATCAGGACGGAACAAAAAGGTGTCAACGTCAGCGAAATAGGATTGGAACATGCAGACATGGCAACAACTAGCAGGTACTGGGCACCTCGGTGCTCCTGCTTCAGGTGTTGAAGACATTGTACAACATGATGATCAACATGATCATAACTCTCTGCTACTAGAACGCGCACAAAGCAACAGCATAACCCGCAGCGCCGTGGCACCACAGGCACCTGCCACCCTACTGATGTGTCTGACAAGGCCACACCCCTGGCAATGGCACCCGCCCAACACACCTACTGGCTGACACAGGCTGCATGAGAGTACTAACAGCACAAGACATGCAACCACATGTAGCAAAACGGATCAAAGAGCAGAGGATGCAAGAAATAACCCCAATTCATGCTATGACGCAGAGGCCGGCCCGGAAAACCCTAAAACCTGATTTTGCGGCCGTATATGATGTTGTTGTGGCGCACTTTCCCATCAGTCATCAGCTCTCATGGTGTAGTCGGTTATCACGTTCGCCTCACACGCGAAAGGTCCCCAGTTCGAACCTGGGTGAGAGCATTATTGTCGTTTGTCTTTTATCGGTCACTGTTTTTGTCAACAGCTTTTACTCTTTTTGCCCAAGCACAGCAAGAGAGGGGTTGCCAGGGCATGCTGCCGTAGATTGATCAAGAAGGCGCGCTGTTGCAGACGGCATCAGCAGACGAGTTTACAAATTGCAGCTACGATGGTGGATGGCCCATACGAGCACGCAGAGGCATCCGTATCCGCGCATACTGAGACAGCCTTCCGCAGAGCAGAGAAGAAGTACCAGCTGCATCTACAGCAGCGTCTGAACAAGAGCAAGTAAGGGGCATCATCATCATCATCATCATCATCATCATCATCATCATCATCAGCAGCAGCAGCAGCAGCAGCAGCAGCAGCAGCAATGCCTGCCAGCACTGCTAGCAAATCCTGCCTTGAGTCGCAAGAGATTGTGCTTCACTGTCTTGCACAGACACTGCGCCGGAGTGCTGGCCATGTGCCAGCTTCCTTCGGCAGCACATCGCAGGGCCCCAGCACCCCCAAGCCCCTCTCAGACAGGCAGGGTCTGCGTCAACGCTCATGTGTTTACGTGCCACTGCCCGCAGGAACGGCCGCGTGCGAGGAGGGAAGCTGGTGGCGCAACCCACAGACCTCTCAGACGTTGTAGACATACGCAACCCAGGCAGCACAGCTGCTGTTGTCGTGCAGCAGCTGCAATGCACACTTCCGCCTGTGTTGCAGCAGGACCAGGGCATTGCAAGCCGCGGTGAGCAGCAGCAGCAGCAGCAGAAACAGCAGGAGGGTGGTCAGCCCACGCAGCTGCCAGGAGTGGGCCGGGAAGGACAACTCCAGGTCAAGCAGCCGCAGCTACAGCCACAGCAGCAGCAGTGTTGCGATAGATCCAATGTACGTGCTGTGACCTTCCCCAGCCATCCAGGACTGGCACTGTTCCCTGCTGCCCTGCCGCAACAGCTGCAGCTGCAGCTGATGCGAGATGCACTAGTAGGATGGCCTGAGCCACCTACACGCACCAACCACACAGCAGCATACGGCATGCAGCTCGGGGGGCTGTTTGCTGCAGCACAGGCAGGCCTGTCACTTGAAAGGCAGCCAGGTGCACACCAGCAACGTCAGCAAGGCAGGCAGCAGCAGCAGCAGCAGCAGCAGCAGCAGCAGCAGCAGCATGGAAGAGACGGAACAGAGAAACAGCAGCAGTCACAGCAGCAGGCAGAGCAGCAGCAGCAGGAGCAGCGTCGGCACTGCCTTGTCTGTAATGCCGCAGCAGTCATTCGCAGACAGCGTGGTGACGTACCAGACTGCAGCAGCTGCCATTGTGCTGGCAGTGCAGCATCTCTGGCAGCAGCAGCAGCAGCAGCAGCACATTCCTGCAGCTGCTCTTGCCCACAAATGTGGTCGCCAGGTGGCACAGGGCTCAAGGCTTCAGCACTGCTGCGCAAGCTGCGCTGGGTGAGCCTGGGGCCGCCCTTCAACTGGGCCTCACGCGAGTACGAGCCGCAAGCACCCCACAGGCCCCTGCCCCGCGAGCTGCTGCAGCTGGCTGAGCACTATGCAGCGCTGGCGAGGGCCTGCTGCAGCATCGGGGGCAGCAGTGTAGCAGCAGATGCAAAAGCAGCAGCAGCAGCAGCAACTGCAGATGGCATGCAGCCTGACGCAGCAACAGCAGCCTTCAGGCCTGACGTAGCACTTGTCAACTACTACCAACCAGGCGACACGCTGAACGGCCACCAAGACGACGTGGAGCGGGACCTGTTACAACCGATTGTAACAATCAGCCTGGGGTGTGCAGCTGTGTTCCTGATGGGGGGCCCTAGCAGGCAGCAGCAGCCGACCCCGCTGCTGCTGCGCAGTGGGGATGTGATGGTGCTGGGGGCCGCTGCACGGGCCTGCTACCATGGTGTGCCACGTGTGCTTTGCAGCTGGGAGGGCGTTACCAACAATGTTTGTAACACTGCCAGTAACAACAAGAACAACAGCAACAACATTAACGGTGGTGTTGGTAATCAGGGGCAGCAGCAGCAGGGGGACGCGCTACATCGGGAGTTGGCACGGGAGGAGGAGGTGTTAAGGCAGGCAGAGTATCGTGCAGTGCTGACGCATATGCAGCAGTGCAGGGTAAACATCAGTGTGCGTTCCTCCCTGTGATGCTTGTATAGGAAACAGAAGCGCAAACATGCTAAGGAGTGCCCCATGGCCAAGCTGATGCTTGTAACTGTTGAAGGCGTGGTTGCTTGTGGCATTACAGGTTACGAGGCAGGCTCATGGTGATGATTGCTGTGCAGGATGCTGGCTGTCCAGTGTGAAGAAGCAGCAGCACTCTAGCATGAAAAGGCAAGCAAGCAAGCAGTGTCACCAGACCCTGCATGCGAGGCTGCTCATGTAAGCAAAGCTGGCTCCACCCACTCTACGGCGCCGCTGGTTGTACTGATGCACACGTAGCAAGCATCCAAGTCCAGAGTGGTTGCTTCTGGGGCACCAACCCTTCCAGTGTGGGCTTTTGTCGCATGGCACAAGCTGTAGCTGGGCTGTTGCTGACAACTAGGGTTAAACATGGTGCGATCAAGATTTTGAACCAGCAGAGCTACCTTGAGGCGACTAGTGGCTGGTGGCACCTGCAGTGCAGGGTCCCCGTGCAGGGCAGCACACTGTGACAGCAGCGCAGTACAGTGGGTGGTGCCAGCGATGCGTGCATGGGCAGCCTTGCCTGAGGGGTGCAGATGACTCTGCTTCTCTCTTGCTTTGCATCCCTGCTAGGTGACTGTCACTGACAGTGCCGCTGCCTCGTACAGCAGGGGTCTCAGGCAACCCTAGACCCTGCGGGGGTGACAGCATAACCTCTCCATCTGCGCCATCACAGGGCGCAATGATGGGTTGAAACAAGGTGCCTCTTATAACCTGTCATCACGTTCATTTCATTATTGTTCAGAAGAACGACTGCTGCTGCTGTTCCCTGCTTGGCACCTGCCATTGGATCTCTGTGCCGTTACCTTTGTAATTAGGATCTAGTCATACTCGCTGCTGAAGTTTCTGGGGCAAGCTGCTGGGCACGCAGCAGCAGGCGACAGCAGCTTACGTACTCTGGCCGGGTGAGCCAGCTCGCCAGCAACAGGTGGGGCATGCGCCTTAGCAACGAAATGCTATGGCTGATTGAAGGTCCGCACACAGCATCAGCCGCAGCTTCGAGTGTCTTGTGTTGCACGCCTTGATGCTGCTGCTGCTGTGCAAAGCCTGCTGCTCTAGTGCTCTGATCTGGCCAGCCACCCTCCTAACTGCGTGGTGCTGGCAGATGTGGAAGTTCATTTACACGTAGTAAGAACCTTGACCACCGTTGCAGGTTGCTAGCAGTGCAAGCCTTCTTACAAGCCCACAGGTTCAGCCCCTGCCCTGCTCCTGCTCTGTAACACTCCTGTCCTGCAAGCACCTACATCCTTGTCCCGCTGAACTTCAATGCCTTCATTCTCACAGTTTTCTGGCATATCACCGTACAGTTTCTGGCATATCACCGTTCACCTTGACGAAACTTGTTCGCAGCAGCAGCCATGGATGGCCCAGGGGGATGGCGGCGGCCGTCCCGCTCTGTGATGACCAAGATGATGAAGGAGTCGGTCAAGACAGGCCACCCCACCGGCCTGCCAGACAAGCTGGTGCGGCTGTTTGCACCTGGGCCGCCGGTGCGCTTCATTGCAGAGAACGCCAAGCCGAAGAAGAAGCCCAAGCTGCCCTACACGGGTGAGGTTGGCTGGATGCAGCGGAGCGCAGCAGCAGCAGCTCTGTGCAAGACAGTGCTGCTGAGTCGGTGCCGCTGCTGCACAGAACCAGTGTGATTGCAGCTGTGCTGGCGCGCACGACGACCACCACGGTTCCTGGTATGCATCCCTGTCAGCTAAAAGTGCTGGATACAGCGCTGCAGGCAGGGATGCTACAACATGCACTGCCCTTGCCTTCACCTTTGTCTTTGCTGTTGCCCCCGGCTGTGTAACCTCCGTATTTGACCATCCCCTGCTTCCGTGCTGCAGGTATTGGTGCGCTTGTGACGCACTTTGCGGCGCCAGGGGATGCCGAGTATGAGCCACCCAGCGCAGCAGCAGAGCAGCTGCCGCCGGCGCGCATGTTCCGTAACAAGGAGCTGGAGCTGCAAGTGCGGCTGGACGACGAAACAAAGCTGGAGAAGTGCGTACGGCTGTCTGCTATTGTTATATAAGTACAGCGAGCTGCAGCACAGTATGTGGGAGGGAGGGGCCTACACTCACCTTGTGGCTGATGGCTGCGATGTAGTTTGTCGTTGGAGCATTGAGGTGGGGATGTGCACTGGCTGGATTAGTGCACTGGGTGCTTGCAGGATGAGCCCCCTCCAGTGTCAGAAGCTGTTGCAAAGCAGTGGTGCTCTTGCTGGCGTGGTTTGGCGCAAGCTTCCTGCCAACACAGGGGCGCTTTGTGCTAGCACGTGACGTGCCCTGGCTTGCACATGCACTGGGCACCCGAGTGCGTGCAGCCGTTGGTGCGCTGGCTTCGCGCTGAGACAATCTAGCCCAGCCAGTGCTTGATGTGTACTGCGTACTGTGCCAACCGCTTGCAGGAAGAAGCGGCTGCACGACTGGAAGGTGGAGAAGGTGCGGCAATGCCAAAGCAGCAGCAGCAGCAGCAGCAGCACAACAGCACATTTGTTCTTGTCTGTATGTGCTGTGTGTGCCCAACCACACCAGCAGCAGCAACTGCAGCAGCTAATCTGAGTGGGCTCCTTGGCCAATGCCGGCAACGCAGCAGTGGCCACTGGCAGGGCAGCAGATGCAAGGGTGCATGCAGGGCAACGGCATGAATGCAGCGGCCGCGGCTGTTATCAGGGCTGTAGCATGTGTACTGATCAAGCTGTGCTGGGGCAGTCAGAAACGCGTGCAGCACTTGGCGAGCATGGCTAAGCTTGCATTTGGCATGATGGCGCAAACCATGTGCTTGTGTTTGTGTGTGTTGTTACCACTTGCTGCTGCTGCGCCGCTGCTGCGTTTTTGCTGCTGCTG